TTAAACTAACTTAATTAAATTGAAATATCGTCAATACTTTCATTTAATAAAAAAAAAACTTAGCGAGCTGAGACGGCCACGACCCCAGGACTTGCACGATTAATCTGAAATCAAAGATTTTAACTTAGTAGGTATGTGTAAATAAAGCATATAACTTCAGGAGCACCAGACGTGGAAATAAAGACGTTTCTGTTTGCTTCAATCGCTCACAATTATATAATATTTAGAACATATTATTATGGAAAGGGGGTTATCCGTTTAATGTTTAATATAACGAAATAATAACTTACCAAATTAGAAGTTGAAAAATTAGTTTCTCCGGCTCTCTCTTAGCAATTTCCTATCATCTGCGCACTTGCTTATGATGGCGTTGCTGAAAAAATAATCACGAAATTAGTAAATTAAAAACCATTTTAATTTTGGACACGGGAAATTTAAGAAGTTATTTATGTTTGATATTTCAATGTGAGATTGCTAAAGCGCATACATACCGCACTAGGCCTGTCGATACACGACATTGCTCCGCCACGGTCTGTATGATATCGGAGACCATCTTGGCGGGCAATTTCTTCTTCGGCGCCAGGTGAGGGAAAGCCGGGAAACGCTTGCCTGTCAGCGAACTAGTTCCCAACTTTCTGAAAACATTAACTAAGCAGTCAGTATTAAATCAAATGATTACATTGTTTCGATATTGTTACGATCAAACAATACGGAATCTATATACCTTCGCGGAAAAACTGCCAACAACAACTTTCTCGTAGCAATGGTGTGTGAGGTCCAGTCGACGCATTTGAAGACGCACTTCGGCACGTACACGTGACCATCACCGATCGCCATCTGTAAAAGCACGAAAACATAAATATAAATAGCTAAGTACTGCACAATTGAGATATTATTATATTAATACAGTAAGGTACTTGACTAGTGAATAAAGTTTGTTTTTTACCATCTCAGGTTTTGTCTTTCTTCTTGCCATTTCCTGTTCGACATCTTCATCTTCTGACTCAGATTCTGTGGTGTCGGATAATTCGATGTTTTCCTGTAAAAGACACAAAGTTATTAGATTTTTGTAACCAGTCGGTGCTTTTTGAGTTTTCAAATAATTTAATCTCTGTTACCTTCTCGCTGCTACTCTCGCTGGGTTGTGGATCCACAGGGTCAGTTGGAGGTTCATTCTCGTCGTCTGTGAATTCATAATCAAAGCTTCCTACTGCCTTCGGAAACCTTAATTTTTTTTCCGTCCAGTGTCTGGACGGAGTAAAAGTAGACGTTTGTGCCAAATACTTATGGCAAAATCTTTTTTTTGGAGGCAGACTAACATAAGAAATGTTTGTCTGCCGTGCGTTCCATAAATGACTTTTATAGGCCGCGGGTTCTACTTGTGTAGATATCTAAAATGAAAAAAAAAAACTATAGCTTTTATATCTACTCACTAGGTAAGTACGTAAAATATGGACTGGATTTTAAAATACTTACGTCGTCTTCTTGACTGCCCTCGGCTGCCATTTCGCTAGACAGCCGCTTGATTGGTGGACTCATGTTATTAGATCTGTTAAAGACGTGAACATAATTAGAAGATGCTTTCGATCCTATAATACAGGTGTGGTTTTGTAAAACAACGCCCATCTCAGGGGTGGTAGTATACACGACAATGATGCAAAAAAAAACAATACACCTTACACTTTTATGGAAAAATCCGTGAAATCAGGAAAATGGTATTATTACGCGGGCGACCTATCGGTCAGTCCCCCCGCTCAGCCGGGGCGGCAGCCGCATGTGCTCGGTGGTGTAGCGGGGTACGCGGCGGTAGTGCGGGCGGTAACAAGCGCCGTCACGAAAGTTTTAGGAGACGTTTGAACAAAGTTTTTTTTACTAATAAAGTAATAGTTAACATTTTATTTATATTTTTCTTTTAATCATGTTCATGTCTACTACCACCCCTGAGATGGGCATTGTTTTACAAAACCACACTCTGTCTGTATATAACAATTAAACACTAACCAAATGACCTAAAGCTAGACAGGTCTGAAAATTGAAATTCTGTATTTGAGGGACCATACTCCTCTAATCTACTGTTACCCTGAATTCAGTATCTGAAGCTTAGGATCGTCACCATAAGCAGTGACTAGTAAAAGAGGATAAAGTAAAAGTACTAAGAAATAAGTAAAAAAACATAACTCTCCTCCTGGCACAGTCGGGTAAAAATAAAATAGCAACTTACTTAGTTACGAAAGCTTCTCGACAGGAATCTCCAGCTACAATCACACTTCGCAAGCACTGATCCTGTTGAGATCCCGGGACGTACTAATAAATAGTGAATGTGTCATTTAACTTATTTATACTATTTTTGCAAATACAGACAATAATGCATCATCAATATTGCATTGTTTTCATTTGTTTGCACCCTTTTTAAGTGTATAGATAAGGACCCGGTTTTTAGCGGCTCTATACAAAAATACCACGTTGAACCCATTGTTTAAAGGGATTGAAATTGGTTGTTATCTAAAAATCCTCGACTCTCTCACGGGTTATGACTTCTGAAAAAGAAAACGAAAGGATAGTGCCAGGGTCTGGACCAAGTGCTGCCCAGAATCAACCCATAGTGCATTTTGTTTCTCAGACCAATACTAATGTGTAAACCGAAGCGCACTGCAATCTATCCCTGGAGTTAAGAGAAAAAAAGAGTTTTGTTTTGAAATATTTTCATACAAAATATCATCGATGTATACGTACTACGCATAAGATTTCGTGTTTTTGGCATTATATAACACTCGTTATGTTGAACTTAATCATACTGCATCCGTACACCTTACTTTAGTGCGACTTATGCCCGTTNTACATCGATGATATTTTGCATGTAAATAATTCCAAACAAAACTCTTTTTTTCTCTTAACTCCAGGGATAGATTTCAGTGCGCTCCGGTTTACAAATTAGTATTGGCCTAAGGAACAAAACGCACTATAGTTTCATTCTGGGCAGCACTTGGTCCAACTTCCATACATGGATTGGCACTGTCCTTTCAGTGAATATTGTTTGTTAATATTATTTTATATAAAATTTAACATTGTAACAGAGCAGGAATGTATCTATGTAATATTTTACAGTAGGGAATTGAGAAACTCATAAAAACCTATAGAGTTCCGATAAAAAGCTGATTAGAATTAAAAAGAAAGAGGTTTGAAACAGAATGGGCACTACCTAACTAAATGGATTCTATATTTATTTTATAGTCTTAATTTTACTTTTTATTATGTGTACTTACTTGCTTGCTGAATAATATTATAATATAATTATGTATTTAATTATTTATATTATAATATTATCCAGCAGTGATCGTGTTAAATTAACACAATCGCTGCTGAAAACACATAGGTACGGGTGGTTTTTCGCGATGACTGTGCGGCCGCACACGTTTTATGCGTTTTCTTAATTTTCCATACGACCGTGCGGGCTCACACGTAAAGCGTGTTTTGCCGTCACGTAAGACACATCGTCTGTGTTTTGATATCAATAAGCAGAATTTACCTTGTACTTTAGAAAAGAAAATTGCATTTGCGAACACATTTGTTTCTATTTTTTGGGCGTTTTTTTCAAACTAAACGTAAATAAAAAATTAAAATTATAAATTATTAAAAGAAAAAAGGGTGGACTTCGCCTAGGCTAATGTTTCCTTAAAATATTTTCACAACGAAATTAAAATATTTTAATTTTAGAAACCACATACTTAATTACAGTAAATACCTATAGATATCCATTAGTGCATAATCTGGTCATTAAATCCCAGTTATTACAAGTATTTCTTTCAAGTTCTGTAAAGCTAGCCTTTGCCTACGGTTTGCCCGCGTGAAAACTAGTTTAAACTCAGTAATTAATAGTAGCCTACATTATTTATTACATTATTCTTATGTAAGTGTACGCAATAATACTGTGCACAGTTTCATTAATATCATTTCAATATTGACAGAGTAAGTACAAATATTGCAAAAATATACACATTACTAACATAAGCAACTTGTAGGATTATAGGTCCTACGACGACGGTACTACGGATTTTCATGAGAATTTGGTACTATTCCCACTCAAGTAGTTAAGTAAGACACCCAGAACAAAACTATTCTTAAAAATAAGTAGCTAATTATTACAATGAAAAGATGATGAATTGCTTTTTGTTTGTCAATGTCGAAACAGTGCCTTGGGCTAGTGAGCGCGTTAAAAAAAATTATGAAATGTTTTGTTCTTGAACGTTTCCGCTATGGGCGCTGTACAATCCGTCATACATTTAATGACATTTTTTATACGCTCACTAGTTAGGACGTTTGATGTAAACTCACACTCAGCTTTCAGATAATGGTGTTAAATACAGCTTATAATAGAAGAGTGTACCTACAGATAAGGCTTTTTAAACGGAAAGTGAGATCATTGCCACTTTCTCATGTTCTGAAACAATTAGCCCACGTGTTGTTTTATGCAGTGCAGTATAATCTTTTTAACGACTAGGTGATAGTACGTTATAAAAAAAACGTTTAAAAGCTTTAAGAGTTAGTATCTGTAATCCAACTTTTAAGTACTTAACTAAACTAAACCTAAAAAGAAAAAGCCTAAGACTCTTTACAAGCGACTTGATTTTGTTGGATCCTCAGGTTGGACCTCATTTCTAGCTAAAGATTGAGATCCGTTTTGTGAAACGAAGTTAAAAGCTTATGTCAAACTTAAGCATATCGAAAGTCGTTTCCTAATATGAAACGTATAAGGATTTTAATTTCTCTGCCAAAGAATAAAGCAAACTTATAAAATTATTATCGTCCAAACATTGTTAGATAGTTGAATCAAGTTGTGTGAAAAAAGTTTGCTTAATAAAAGCAAGCTTTTAATAAGCTTTATTTTTATTTTATATAATTTTGTGTTAAGTGTTAAAACAAATATAATCGTGATTATGTCTATGTGTGTAAATACTTTTAAAGTAAAACAAAATTGTATTAGGATAAAATTGTATTTACATATTATTTTAAACTAACTTAATTAAATTGAAACATAGTCAAAAATGTCAAATAATAAAAAAAAACTTGGCGAGCTGAGACGGCCACGACCCCAGGACATGCACGATTAATCTGAATTTTCTGAATTTTTAAATTAGCATTTGTAAATAAAGCATAGAACACAACTTCGGGAGCACCAGACGGAAATGAAGACGTTTCTATTTGCTTAAATCGCTCACAGTTCTATAATATTTAGAACATAATAAATAGAGAGGGGGTTATCAGTTTAACGCTAAATATAACAGGAAATAATAACTTACCAAATTAGAAGTTGGAAAATTAGTTTCTCCGGCTCTCTCTTAGCAATTTCCCTTCGTCTGCGCACTTGCTTGTGATGGCGGTGCTGAAAAAATAATCATGAAATCAATAAAATAAAAACTGTTTTAATTTTAGACACGGAAAATTTTATAAGTTATTTCTCGTATGTTTGATATTTCAATCTATTTCAATGCGAAATTGCTAAAGCGCATACATACCGCACTAGGCCTGTCGATACACGACATCGCTCCGCCACGGTCTGTATGATATCGGAGACCATCTTGGCGGGCAATTTTTTCTTCGGCGCCAGGTGAGGGAAAGCCGGGGAACGCTTGCCTGTCAGCGAACTAGTTCCCAACGTTCTGAAAAGATTAGTTAAACCGTCAGTATTGAATCAAATGATTACAAATACCTAAATATTATTACGGTCAAATATAACACATAATCTATATACCTTCGCGGGAAAACTGCCAACAACAACTTTCTCGTAGCAATAGTGTGTGAGGTCCAGTCGACGCATTTGAAGACGCACTTCGGCACGTACACGTGACCATCACCGATCGCCATCTGTAAAAGCACGAAAATATTAGCTAAGTACTGCACAATTGAGCTATATAAATAGAGTAAGGTACTTGACTAGTGAATAAAGTTTATTTTTTACCATATCAGGTTTAGTCTTTCTTCTCGCCATTTCCTGTTCGAGATCCTCATCTTCCGACTCAGATTCTGTGGTGTCGGATAATTCGATGTTTTCCTGTAAAAGACACAAAGTTATTAGATTTTTGTAACCAATCGGTGCTTTTTGAGTTTTCAAGTAATTTAATCCTGTTACCTTATCGCTGATACTCTCACTCGACTGTGGATCCACAGGTGACCCTGTGGATTCTGGAGGTTCATTTTCGTCGACACTCTCACTGGGTTGTGGATCCACAGGGTCAGGTAGAGGTTCATTCTCGTCGACACTCTCACTTGGTTGTGGATCCACAGGGTCAGCTGGAGGTTCATTCTCGTCGTCTGTGAGTTCATAGTCAAAGCTTCCTACTGCCTTCGGAAACCTTAACTTCTTCTCTGTCCAGTGTCTAGACGCAGACGGTTGTGTCAAAAACTTAAGTCTTTTTTTTGGAGGCAGACTAACATAAGAAATGTTTGTCTGCCTTACGTTCCATAAATGACTTTTATAGGCCGCGGGTTCTACTTGTGTAGATATCTGGAAGGAAAAACAACATAAAATATGGACTGGATTTTAAAATACTTACGTCGTCATCTTGACTGCCCTCGGCTACTATTTCGCTAGACGGCCGCTTGATTGGTGGACTCATGTTGTTAGATCTGTTAAAGACGTGAACATATTAGAAGATGCTTTCGATTCTACAATACAGGTGTGGTTTTGTAAAACAACGCCCATCTCAGGGGTGGTAGTATACACGACAATGATGCAAAAAAAAAAAACAATACACCTTACACTTTTATGGAAAAATCCGTGAAATCAGGAAAATGGTATTATTACGCGGGCGACCTATCGGTCAGTCCCCCCGCTCAGCCGGGGCGGCGGCCGCATGTGCTCGGTGGTGTAGCGGGGTACGCGGCGGTAGTGCGGGTGGTAACAAGCGCCGTCACAGGAGAAAGTTTTAGGAGACGTTTGAACAAAGTTTTTTTTACTAATAAAGTAATAGTTAACATTTTATTTATATTTTTCTTTTAATCATGTTCATGTCTACTACCACCCCTGAGATGGGCATTGTTTTACAAAACCACACTCTGTCTGTATATAACAACCTATAACACTAATCAAATGACCTAAAGCTAGACAGGTCTGAAATTGAAATTCAGTATTTGAGGGACCATACTCCTCCAATCTACTGTTACCCTGAATTCAGTATCTGAAGCTTAGGATCGTCACCATAAGCAGTGACTAGTAAAAGAGGATAAAGTAAAAGTACTAAGAAATAAGTAAAAAAAACATAACTCTCCTCCTGGCGCAGTCGGGTAAAAATAAAATAGCAACTCACTCAGATACAACAGCTTCTTGACAGGAACCTTCCAGCTACAACCACACTTCGCAAGCACCGATACTGTTGAGATCCCGGGACGTACTAAATAGTGAATGTGTCATTTTACTTATTTATACTAGTTTTGCAAATACAGACACAATAATGCCTCATCGATATTGCATTGTTTTCATTTGTTTGCACCCTTTTTAAGTGAATAGATAAGGACCCGGTTTTTAGCGGCTCTATACAAAAATACCACGTTGAACCCATTGTTTAAAAGGGATTGAAATTGGTTGTTATCTAAGAATCCTCGACTCTCTCACGGGTCATGACTTCTGAAAAAGAAAACGAAAATTCAGTGAATATTGTTTGTTAATATTTTCTATAAAATTTAACATTTTAACAGAGCAGGAATGTGTGTAATATTTTTACAGTTGAAAATTGAGAAACTTATAAAAACCTATAGAGTTCCGATAAAAAGCTGATAAGAATTAAAAGTAAAGAGGTTTGAAACAGAATGGGCACTACCTAACTAAATGGAATTTAAATGAATTCTATATTTATTTTTTAATCTTGATTTTACTTTTTATTATGTGTACTTCGTTCGTTCGTTTCAGCCGAAAGACGTCCACAGCTAGACAAAGGCCTTCCCCAAGGATTTCCACAAATGTGAACTTGCTTGCTGAATAATATTATAATATATTTATTATACATATTTTTTTAATAAATATTATTGTATTTAAATATTTGATCGTGTTAAATTAACACAATTTGAAAACACATAGGTACGGGTGCTATTTCACGATGACTGTGCGACCGCACACGTTTTATGCGTTTTCTTAATTTTCCATACGGCCGTGAGGGCTGACACGTAAAGCGTGTTTTGCCGTCGCGTAAGAATAACACATCGTCTGTGTTTTGATATCAATAAGCAGAATGTATCTTGTACTTTAGAGAATTGCATTTTTGAACATAGGTTTCTATTTTTTCTGTTCATTTTTACATAGTTGGGCGTTTTGTTTTTTTTTTAAATAATTTTATTAATAAAGTAAGTTAACATAATACTTTATATAATAGCCATTCCTGCATTATTAATCCAGTTATTAGGTCCCAAGTATTACAAGTATTTCTTTCAAGTTATGTAAAGCTAGCATTTGCCTGCGGATTTGCCCGCTTGAAAATCAGTTTTTTAACTCAGTATTAATAGTAGCCTACATTATTTATAATGTTATTCTGTGTGCCTACCATGAGTTTACGTTAGGTGAGCTCGCTAGCGAATACGTCAAAAAATTCTATGAAGATTTTATTTCTTGAAAGTAGCCGCTAGGGGCGCTGCACAATATGTCATACATTTAAATGTCATTTTTTTACGCAGTCGCTAGCGAGCTCACCTAACGTAAACTCATGGTAGGCACACTGTACCTCTAGTAGGAAAAACTTTCGAGTTCGTTTCGTTGCGTATTCAAAGTGTCATCGAAAAATTTTGTATGAAAAATTAAACAGCGCCCCCTAGGGCGGCTATAATATATATAATAACATACAAAATTTTTCGATGACATTTTGAATACGCAACGAAACGAACTCGAAAGTTTTTGTACTAGAGGTACTGATGTAATAAGCAATAATACTGTACAATAACATTCCAATATACAAAAATAAAATATGATAAGGGATAATATTGTTAATCAACTTTTAATCATAAATTAGTATCATAAACGTTTAATGTTGCAGATTGATGCGAACTATGGAGTTAAGTGCTCTTCCTGCTGTTTACCTAATGTTTTTGTATGTAGGTACTACATAAAAAGGCATTTAAAAAACCTTAATGTATAATGTATAAAATGAAATACACAAAAACACTGTCCAGTTTTCAATATAATTGTATCTCATCATCCAAAAATTCTAGCAATACTACACTCGGATTAGATTTATACTGTAATTTTATAAACATTACGGGACAATAAATAAATAAATATAAATGTCCAATGGCTTGAAAAATTGAGGTATCCAGTGATAATTTATTTCATTCATATCTTTCCTGCGGCTTTGTAAAATCGTTATAAATTGTAGCCTATAGTTTGTATTATGTTATTCTGATGTATTTGTTTATCTCTTTATACATTAAGTGCAGAAAAATAACTCACTGTAAGTGGACCTACAGACTGGAACCCCAATTAAAAACAATAATAAGTAGGAACCTACTGTAAAGTTTGATTGAACTCATAAGTTTAAAATTTATCATACTGGCAAGGTCCTACGGCCGTACTACGGATTTTCATGAGAATTTGGTACTATTGTGGTACTATTCCCACTCAAGTAGCTAAGTAAGACACCCAGAACAAAACTCTTTTCCAAAATAAGATAAGACCCTTAAAAGTTAAGTAGCTAATGATTACAATGAAAAGATGATGAATTGCCTTTTGTTTGTCATTGTCGAAACAGATAATGGTGTTAATACATTTTATACAGTTTATAATAGAAGGGTGTACAGATAAGGCTTTTCAAAAAACGGAAAGAGAGATCATGTTCTGAACAATTAGCACACGTGTTGTTTATGTAGTCTAATCTTTTTAACGCTGACTTTTATTGTGTTGTATATGCCATTGTTATTATTTCTATACAATGTTTTACTTTACCTGACTCAAAGGGTGGTTGGTGGTAGATCTCTTAAAAATCACACGAGTCGAAAGACTATATTTTAGTTTTTAAAAATCTTTTGGTTTAAAAATCTACATGCCTACCTATTTAGGTTTTTTTTGCGCGTATACCTACTACCTATTTTAAAATTATTATACTTAGTACGTATGACATTTGATAGGTACGTCAAGGACGTCGCACATTTGAATGATGCATTGCTGCAATCTGCTATGAGCTTCGTAGATTAATACAAAATAGCCGGTGCCATAAATGGTTGGCGCGTAGCAGGGCTACTAGGTAGGTAGGTACATGGTAAGAAATAAATCTAGAAGGCGAAGAGAGGATAAATTATATAATACTAAAAATATAATAATAAAATAGGTACTTAGGTAAAATAGGTACTAATGATGTGTTATGTTATTAAATGAATGATAGTTAAAAATGTATTTTTTAAGTATGACCTTTCTGAATGTCCGTCATAGTTTTGTTAATTTAGGTTTTAGTGTTCCGTTCTTCACAAAGGAAAACAAATCCAGGCGAGGGCATATCAACTGTTACATCTTTCGTAGATATATTAAGTAGATTTTCTTATAAAAATTTAGGTATGTACCTAGTTTGTTAGTTAGTTAAAGAAGCATGCCATCCAGTGTTTTATGTTATGTAGATTAGGCGTGGAATGGAACGTAAAGAATGAACGAGGAGGATGAGCGAGTGAGTGATAGATATTAATTTAATATGGCGTAAAACGGTTAAACGACGTTACACGTTTTGTAAGTGAGCATTAAGCCCTTTCTGATAACTCCAATTACCTTTTCTTAAAAACAAAATTGTTCCACGCCTGTGAACATACTTAAATAGATAATTAATTAATTTTAATATTTTATTGTTAAATGTCAAGAAGAACCTTTTTTTCTGGAACGCGTGGATAACCTAGAAGTCGATTCCAGATGACGCGAATGAGGTAAGAAAAAATAATTTTAAAACTTCCTCTAGGGCATTATGGTACCATAGATTTGTTATGTTCTCATAATAATAATATGTGGGTTTTGTAATTCTTATTAAGAGTAGGCATTATGATCTTATACCATACCTACTTAAATCGTATCTTGTCCGCAATAAAGTATTGAATATTGAGTAAAATCTCCTCGCACGGAGACACAACATCGGGGTGGCGATAATGCGTTATTCCGACGCTTTTAGTACACAATATAAGTGTACGTTTACACTTTTAAAACAAAATAGGTACTAAATGCTAATTTGAGGATAAAATATTATACCATTTATGTATTATTTTTAAGCCAACTGTAACAGTAGGTAGATGCTAAAACACATATTATAATTGTTTCAAATTAGAAATGACTAACTAGCTTAACAAATTCATCCCCTGTTTCACCCATAACCCGTTAAATGCAAAGTAATAAGCCGAACTTTTAAAAGGCATTATCTGCCAATTAACTTGTGGTAAAAGTAGGTACGTAGGTACTCAGTCACAGTAAAATGTAGACATTACATAATAAGTATAAATAAAGCTAAAATATAAAAAGGTAAGTGGCAATTGGCAGGGCACGTAACCAGCAAAACTTGGGTACTGATACTGAAATGAAGGCCGCGTACTAACAAACGCAGGACGTCCAAGAGCTGGTACGATAGATTTAATTATTTATAAAGATAGAAAAGGCACTTGATATGGACTGAAATGAACACGACGATGATAAAAGTGATATCATGGTACAGACAAAATAATAAAAAAGAGGAAATAAAATGTTGTGTATTCTAATTTATTTTTTCTCTTATAGGAAAATATACAAAAACTTGAAGATAGTTCTTTCGACACAGGCTCGTCGCCTGACGAAAGTGAACCCAACGTCGAAATGGTAAGCATTGCTTTTGATGACGTAACCACCTTATGTTAACCGTAACTATAATCATAACCGGTGATTTTGTATGGATTTGTCAGACTTTTGACGTTTGTTACGGTTAAAGAGCTCGCCTGGGATTTTACTATCATTAATCTTTAGATTTTACCATTGCTACTAGTTATTTGACACAGTTAGGCTGAGTTGCACCACCTAACTTTGACCGTAACTGTAACTATAACCGGTGCTTTTTGTATGAATTTTGTTATAGTTACCGTTAAAGTTAGATGGTGCAACTCAGCCTGTGTAACTCACATCACATTATATCTGTAATTGCGAAATTGTGAACTCCGTCAGTTTTTAATATAACGCGTGAGATTGTAAACTAACAGTGGGTTAGGTTAGGTTGAGCTTATAATTTGACGGAATTCACAATTTTACGGTGCCACCTACTCGTATATAAAAATCTAGTTTTTGTGTTACTGAAAATGTTAAAATGATTTAAAACATAAAACTAACCAACAAGTAAATTTTGTGCAAATGTTCTTTTTTTTGGTAGGGAACTTCTTACTTATTATTTCTGAACTTACTTGCTGTTATATCTTTTTTTTTTCTCTTTCAGTTTGTCGCCAT